ATTGGAATTGCAACACATTGGACTTTAGTTATTGCAAATGTATAACCTGCACCAATTATCCATTGAAATATGCCGGTATTTGCTTAAGGTGAAGGTATGGGATGTTGATCAGAATACAATGTAAAATAATGTAACGTACATGTTTACTACATTTTCCTGTGGTAGACAGACTTGCCTTTAGTGTTACTATTCGTTGAAAGAATAAAAGCACTTTTTTTTAAGGTTTAAAAATGTTCAAATCAACTTCTATTGATTTAAGAAGCTTTGATAATACAAGTCAAAAAGAAAGCTCCAGCAGCCTTTTAGTTTTCACCTGGCACAATAGGTACTATTAAGTTGAACCTTCCAGCTACTTGACAGTCAGAAGGTCGTGCAGTTTTGAAAGCCCTACATAATTACAAACTTAACAGTAAACCATATTGTTAACAAGCACTAAAGCATAACTGTCTATATCATTAGTGTGGCTGAAACGTCTTCGAGAAATATTTCAAAATATTTTGCATTTAAACCATTCCTGTTAACTGAGTGGCATGGTTGTGTTCACGCCCTCTGTTTTCCTCAAGCTGGTGTCTAAAATAACACAACCCTGGAAAGAAGAAGAAAAAAAATCTGCCAGCTGCACATATGTTGCTTAGAAGCACTGGAAGCGCTTAGAAGAACATTAGCAAAGGCTTTGCTTGGCAATGTCACGCTGAAGTCAAGGTGTTTTACCCTCCTGACCTTTTGGTGAAGCAATGAAAACGTAATTTCATTCTATTTTTCAGACTCACACCAAATACAAGAGCAACTATATTACCTTCCTGTACAGCCGCAGTTTTTTTTTTCTTTAACATATTTAATAAGAGACTCGACGCAGGAAATTATGTACCACATATATTTTAACCAGCAACATCCACTATGTTTTCTTTATTAGTAGGGGTCTCAAACTTGCCGAGTGGTGCAGAAGCTTCTGTAGCAATTTAAAATCTTTTTTTTGGAAAAGTAGTTGTTTGGTTTAATATAAGTAAAACAGTAGAAAAGGTCTGTACAATTATTTCCTGTCATTCTAAAATGAGCAACATAAGCATTCCAATTCTTGAGTGCAAAATTAAATATTAATGGCATTTAGTTGTAGGCTGGATGTGAAAGTTTTCACAAGTCATATGTTCACCCCGGGCTGGGAGTTTGAGTACAACTGAGTATTAGGGATATGGGTGAGGTAGCATGGAGTTCACATACAAGCTCATGCTGTCATAAATTATAAGTACAACAGTAATTTTAACATTGTCTATGACAGTAAGTTGTGAGGGGTAACCCCTTGAAAAGTTGTGGAGAAACATAAATAAGGTAGGTATGAATGACTAAAAAGTACAGGCCATTTTTATCGTTATGTATTGTCCCCCTCTTTTTAGTGTTTACAGAAGCACCTCCAGGTTCTAGTTCTGATAGTTCTGTGGACTTAACTACCACCTTTGTACTTTAAAAGATTTGCTTTGTTATGTAAGGGACAGACACTTGTCTCTGCACTTCATAGAAATGGCCTACTGATGCAAAATGAAATTTTTTCCAAACACAATTTATGTAGACCTTAATTTTTTCCAAACACAATTTATGTAGAACTTGCTACTTTCAGCAAAGTGCCTTTAATTTGCAGAACTACTTATTATTTGTAACATTACTGAAAATACAGGTCTAAGGCCCAAATGCTTTTGAGGTTATCAGATGACAAATGATTGGCCAATTTGTCTGCCTGTCTGCAGAACAGCCATTTTTAACAAAATGAATAACCAGCTAATAATACCAGGCATGTAACTGTGGGCTGAAATCCATCACCTAACGCAGGGGTCTCAAACTCAAATAAGGTGAGCCACTGCTGCAACCATCGTTTTAATGGAGGGCCACTACAGCGTAAGCTGTTGAACACTCAGATATTTTCGAAAAAGTCATTTTCTGTTAATGTTTCTGCAAATCTTTGTTTATCCCTTAAAGACCTACCAAAGTACTTTAATAATTGAAAAATAAAACAAGTTGCCAGAAATGGCTAAATTTATTATCATTGACATCATGACACGGGACAAAATCTGAAGGTATTGCTGGCCAGATCTGGTCCTTGAGCCAGGAGTTTGAGACCTCGATCTGAAGGATGGATCTGGTGTATTTGTTATGCTGCAGCAAGATGTCAACATGATAACATTACTCAATGCATGCCAGAGTTCCGTACAAACCACCTACTAGCCCCTTTATGTAACTTAAACTACCAATAAAATGCACAAGCAGTGATCCAAGACTTTAATGTGTCTACTGGCTGTGACTTGAAGGCAGTGATGAACTTGTCAAAAGTTAAATGGAAAACACGCAGTTGGTTTTAATACACCAAGACAAAAAAGTCCATGAACGGCAGCTGCTGAAAAATGTAAAAAAAAAAAAAGAAAAACTTTCACCAAACTGAGAATGACACATTTAAGTGAGAAAGCAGTGCTAAAACCACTGCAAAACGTTCCAGCACAGCTCCTTTTTCTATAATTTCTAACCCAGCATTACCAATAATGAAGGCCAAATGGGAATATTTAGAGGGAATGAAAAATAACCTTTTGTGGAACCCTTAACTGACAACTATGCCAAGTTTTATCTATCCTGTGAAAAAAAAGACACAGAAAATCCACAACATCTGATATAGCTATATTCCCTTACCATTTAGGATGGGCACTAATAGAAACACTTGGAAACGAGGGGCAGATAATCTAGCAGGAATAGAAGGAAAAAAAAAACACCAAAGAAAACAGCAAAAAAGACTGGTTCAATTGCAGCCAGTGAAAAAGGCTTGGGCAGACACACACGGTCCTCGACATAGGCCATAATTCTATTCTTACAGAGTGACTTAACTCAATTTTCACTGCATGTCGGAACTCACATGATACACATAAGTCACATACGCTAACACAGTGGTGACATCATAATCTACGACATAAAAACGTGAATAGTCTGACATCTGCTGGGTGCCCTAACTAAGGGCACAACGTTCCGAAAAAAACAAAAGACGGCAAGGTAGTACAACCCAATGTATGGCCTACTACCAGTGAATGTAAACATATAGCGCATAGCATACAATGACGTATTCAACCACTCCACTCACTCACTAGTTCCCATGCGAAAGTTATTTTCACATATATGTATATAGTTTAGGCATACTTTCACTGGACCAAGGAAATACATTTTAGTTTTGAATTAAACAGCTCTGTTGCTCCTTCCTTGTGTCCTTGATATATTCAAGGTACTAAAGCAAGTTTCATGGTTTTACCTTACCTACCTACATTTATTTTAAAACTTAGAATAATAAAGAATATTATTCTAATAAAGAATAATTTCACAATACAGAAATGGGCTACTTATGCTAATAACATCTCAATTTTATTTTTTGCTGCATCTGCACAGATTAAAACAGCTTTAAAACAACAGAGCTCACACTACTACTTCAATATCTGCGCTGTAATTTTGATGTCATTGCTCAGGCATCCAACTTAAGCAGCTGTTTGCCCTTGGCAAAAACACCTTTGCTCAAACATTGCTGTGTCATTTCCTTTTGCAGTGCTGCATTCTTGTTGCCTTTGCAATCACTTTAAACTCTCAGCACTGATAAGATTGCATTAGAATGCAAGAACTTACACACGGAATCAACAAAAACAATTGTTGAAATATTCCCGACAAAAATTGATTTGAAAATTCTTAACATTGTAAACAGGACAACGATTTTCTGAACTTATGTCTAGAGGTTTTTCAAGAAAGCGCTGTTAATAACTAACAATATCAACAAAGAGATAGAGATATAAATTGCAATTATTACTATGGTTGATCAGTTAAATATTCTTTCACCAGGTGACAGCAGAAGGGTAAATTACTAAAAATAAAAAATAAACATTTTTCATCTGTCTTTCTTCAATTCCTACAAGTGTATCAGTAATGTGTTCATGTAAACGGGCACAGGTTTCATCCAGAGTTCATGAATTGAGACTAGAAGATCATTATTTAAAAAAAGTTGGAAGATGCCCTAACATATACAACAGAGGCTGCCAACATTTTTTGTACCAAGGACTGTGCGAAAACAACTTAACAAATTAAAAAAATGCACTCCACTGGGAAAACCTCTAAAAAAAAGTCTGAATTATTCTGCTTCATTGAAGGCATATGTGATCTTGCTCGCAGTTTTTTGTCCATGCTTATGATCTAAAATGTGTTATTGTTAATCGCTTTCGATGCATCATGTGACTTACTTCGAAAGAGGTATATGCTGACAGAGCAATGTTTTTTTTTAAATAAATCTGATCTGATTTCTTTTAAAAACAAACAAAAAAGTAACAATAGCATCATTCAACTCGCTGTAGTCATAGTTGCCACGGCGAGCTGGAAACACCCCTTGCTAATTCAGAAAAAAAACACGGCCTTTAATAAAACAATACTCATGTAACACATTTATGGTTAATCGCTTTGGTCTGTATTCAATCGTGAATAGAGAAAGAATAAAGATGGCAGCACTCGCTTCAGCAGCACAGGCTCAAATCTCGAACGCAGTTCCCAACCAAACTACTTTAGCCCTTATCCTCAAAACAGGAGCATAGTTAACGTAAAACAACATATTAGGATAGACAAGTCCACGGGCACTTGGTGAAAATACCGACGTTTAAATCAAGTGTAAATAATAACTTATTTTTTATAACCGGTTGAGTTGCCTCCTGCTGGTTTCACCGTGAGTTACATCCTAAAGTTCAGTTCTTAACTCTTTACAGTATTGTCCTGCGCAGGGAATGAGCGAAAGGAAAATTCGAGATGGAAGCTTTTGTAAAGTTTGGGCATCCTCAGCCTCGCCACTGAGTTGTGTGTCTCAAAGAAAAAAACGAAGAAAATGCAAAAGAAACCGTCGAGGGAAACTTATTTAAAAACCAAAAAAGAGAATTAGAATCTGTTAAATTGAACGTTTGTAAACTTTTTAAGCCTGCGCTCCCCAACCCCCCTTTACAAGCACTTACTTTGCTTCGCACTTCAGCAGACAGTCCATACGAAGGACCCTTATTAAAATGCGTCATTTTCCTTGTTACGTACGTAAAAACTCAAAAGCTTAATCCTCAGAAAAAAAAATCCCCAGAGTAAAGCAAACGGCGTCCACTCACATACACTCAAAAATTCCACACGAAGAGCACACAGAGAAAGTTCTCAGTGGAAAGCAGTACGGGATCAAAAGAAGAAGAAAAAAAGGCAAATAATGACGTGTGCAAATGAGCCAATCAGAAAGGACCATTTGTTTTTGGTAACGCCCTCGAAGGATGCTGCTCGTCTGACTGCCTCATACACTAAAAAGAGTTTTTTTCATTTTTATTTCATATAAAAATGTATTATGAAGAAGAATGACCTTTGGCTTGTGTTTTACAACCGTGGCAAGTGAATTAAATATTGTAATTTTTTATATGAGGTTTATTTATATGAGGGGCAGTGGTGGCTTAGTGGTTAAGAGACTGAACTTGGGTCCAGAAGGCTTCAGGTTCAAGTCCAACTGCCAAGTTACCACTGAGGCGCTTGGCACTGTCCCCACATGTGGCTCTCTGGGCACATGTGGGGACACCACCGTTCACTTTGGTGATGAATTAAATGCAGAACACACATTTCGTTGTGTGCTGTGACACAATGACAAGTCGTTCACTTTCCTTTATGCATACTGTACGTTGTGAAACAAAGTAAAAGTTCGGTCAAAGTTATAATCATGGCTTCATCGTCATCACCACACCACATCATCTAGTATGTTTCCCCCAAGGGGGATGAATAAAGCCCTACTCTACTCTACACACGATGTCATCGTGTGTCATGTGTCTTACTATTTAGTATTGGTATTGCTTTCAGCATCCTAAAAGTAAGCAAAGGTATCAACCAAATTGCAAATAGGAATCTATGTAGTGCAAAACCTTAATCATTAATCATTAGTTAAATTAGAAGAATTGATTTATAGATTATAGTATCAATGCATACGCCTCCGGACCAGTTAGCATTTTGTTTTTTCAGCGATTAGAAGAAAGACAACATCAAGACCTCACAGTGAAAAAAGACTGATTTACAGTGGGGCCTGAGATAAGAGTTTAATCCATTCCACAACAGCACTCGTGTGTCGATCCACTCGTATCCAGATTGCATTTCCCAATTAAAAATAACTAAAAACCAATTAATTCATTCCGGCCCCCAGAAATATACTAATAATTATTTAAATTAAAATCCCCCCATCTAAACATCAAAACATATATATTGATGTTATAAAATAATAATTAAGAAAACATTTTATATTATTGTTATAAAAATTTAAAGTGTGAGTCTTTGCGAGGCACGGGCTTCCACAGGAGGTAAATTAACTTTATTGCAAGCCAGGTATTCTGGCCGCTAGACTATGCAACGATCGGCGAGTGCCACCATTTATGATTTGGAAAAAAACAAAACAAAATAATTATTTTAGTTGAGTGTCCTTTTCCTACGGTATTTGTCCAGAAAAATCCAACAAATATTTGGTCACCCTTGTATAGCACATGTATTGTAGAGTAGATATTAAAGTATCTTGTTGCTGGTAAATTAGGTCTGAGTTGACTTGACTTTATATCCACTGCCCGTTTTTGACCCTGTCTTTGTTGCCACTGACAGATGATCTGCCCAATGCTACATGCTAGTTGGGATCTAACAGTACTTCTGAATGTATAGGGGAAATCCCCAAACCAACTCCTGACAGGTATCTATTCTAACTACTAGTCATATTCAGTGTTTTTTCATTTAACATTTTTTAAATTGTGACCCCATTTTGATATCATACATTTCAGGCTACACCAGAAGTTTCCTGCTTCTGAAGAATGGAAGATTGAGAACCATTGGCATGTGTCCACTGTTCTGTAAAGGTGACCTTACCAGTGGGATTGGTTTTCACAGGGTTGTAATCAGTGCTGATGTCAATGACTGTTTATAGATTTCTGCTGGGTTTTGTCTTTTCTTCTTGAATATGTTTGCATGATGTGTAAGGTTTTCCCCCGGTTAACTGTATTGAGAATTAGGTTAACCGGACACTTAAAGTTGACCAGTGAAACAAATATGAGAGTAAATGTTTGCGGCCCTGTGATAAACTGGGGAACAGTCCAGGGTTTATCCTGCTCTAGCCCAGTTACTGATGAGATTTGCTCCAGCTCCCCCGCCATCCTGAAAGATTAAAGTGTTGGAGGATAAACAGACACATGAACAATGGTATCCTCAGGAGGATATCCTTTATTTATGAATTACCTCTAAACCAGTGATTCTTAAACATAGGGTCACAACCCAAACTTAGACAATCGAGACGGCCACAAAACTAATTTCAGTTTTGCACCTGTGTGCATAGGTTATCAACTAAAGACACCAAAGATATGTTATCCATGAAAAGCTCAGTTCTAATTCAGCTTTCAACCATGTTGTGGCTGTAATGCATTAGTCAGTACTTTAACAAACTCCACCATACACAGAAGACGATTGTATTCTCTATGCTAAAACGAAGACAACGTTGTGTGGACCCCTCCAAAAGATTACCTTTTTGATACAATCCCAACTTGATCAAATACGGCTTTGCAGATGTACCATGAACTAGGTGAGGTTTGGTTTATTATTGTTTGCAAATCAAATATAGCGTGAGTCAAGTCAGTTAAATCTATACAGTTGGGATGTTCGATATTAACAATTTGTCCATAACCAATATGCTGATATTGTCCAAATACTTAATTTCCGATATCAACCACAACAACGATAAAGTGGGGCAGTTGTGGCCTAGTGGTTAAGGAAGTTAAGTTTGGCCTACCCACTAAGGTAATGGTAGACTTTGGAATGTTAATAACGACCATTCATAAAAGCAGATGCTAAATCGATTCCAAAAAAATAAATAAATAAATAAATACATATTTATGGAACAGGCAGCGTCACATCCTGTTGAATAAATGCTACTAGTTTCTTAATTCATTTACCAGGCTTCACCCTTAACACAGTGGTTCCCCAACATTTGGAAATAGGACTACTGTTGAATACCCTTACTTTAACACATTTCATCTTTCCCCGGATGACAGAACTAAACAAAAATATCAAAACTGAAAGCTTCTCTACCCCTATTGGAGGTCCCCTCCCCTACTTTGGGTACCACTGCTTTTGCATATTTCCTTATTCAGAGGCATAGTGGTTTACCAAGCACCCATGCTGTGCCATCAAGGACTATCATGAAGAACTACACCAAGGAAGACATTTCTTATTTTATGGTCCTGGTTCCACAATGCTTTATTAAAATACATTCAATATGAGTACAGCAGTAATTACTGTGTGACTTTTTTTTTTTACACTATTCTTCCAAGGAAAAGGGATTTGGGATATCTGTCCTTTAGGGAAGACCACTGCACAAAGAAAAAGTCTGACAATGGGTACAGAATCTTGCCCGTCAGCGACAGTGTCTGTACTCGGCAAATACTTTCAACATAAACGAGAAGAACCTTCTTTATTCCAAGAAGTCCAAGGAGGAGTCCTGCAGCACACACAGGAACACAAGTCCCAGGGCCGTTACACAGCACCTAAAACAACAACACGTGGGAAGGGGGAAAAAAAACAAACTTTCTTTGTTTGTGCTGTTCTCAGGACCCGTAACACAACCTGTTTCTCCTCACATTTGACTTCTAAGTGTGAGTGACCTCAGTAAAATCTGTTCAGTGGATAATATATAGCATATATTATCCACAGTTCAATACAGATACATGTATTGTTGCGCCCCAATATATATAAATAAATATATATATATATATACATATATATATATATATGTATTGTATATATATATATGTATTTATATATATATATATATATATATATATATTGGGGCGCAACAATACATGTATCTGTATTGAACTGTGGATAATATATGCTATATATTATCCACTGAACAGATTTTACTGAGGTCACTCACACTTAGAAGTCAAATGTGAGGAGAAACAGGTTGTGTTACGGGTCCCTGGGCATGCCTCCTTAAACAAAATCTTGAAGGAGGTCCCTTCTTCTATAAGGAACGAACCACGGGTCATGTTTATTGAGGATTTTGTTTTGATACCTCTATTTATTATTACTGAATAAGCTTTTTTTAGTGGGCTATTTCTTTTTAATATACGTATATGCTGCTGCTAAGAATGCTCGACAGAAGATGGGATTTATGGACAGCAGACAACGCAGGTATAGCTGCATCAGATACATTTAGTTGAAATTAAAACATTTACTGATGAATTAAAACAAATGTCAAATTTCAAATGGTTAAATTGGCATGGTGATTTCTCTTTTTTATAGAAAAAAAATGCAAACAATTTAAGTAGTATAATACCAAAAGGAACTGTGAATTTTGAGCATCATTGCATCCCTAATATATAAATACTGTATAACAAAACAATGCAAATTAGTATAATTAATGAATGACCAAATAATACAATTGAAAATAAATTTAAAAGAATCTTCAACAAGCAAAGGTAAATCATTATTCACAGCTAGTTATGGGTCAAATTTGGGTGGTTCAAGAGTTTGAGACCCAGTCCAACTCCACTGTACTTACCAAGTCAGGTCTGACTCTAAACATCAGAGGGAGTGAGTACTGCATGGCCTTCAGAGTACTGGCCACAGAGGAACTCCAGGACTGATGCACTTCCCGGCTTCGTGGAATCCGACAGATGGTAAACTGTGGAAAACGAATATCTCAATTAGAGGTGCGACAAAAAGAAACCTGAGGTTCCTATTGTCTCTGCAAACAAATGACAGCAAGGTAGTGATGGGCGGTAGCAGAATTTTTGATTTGATAGAATAATTTTTAGTCAATTTTCATATATTTTGTATGCCTTTTTTTAACCTTATAAAACACAAATACTGGCCATTTAACAACTTTGATGCTCACAGATTTTTTTTTTACTTTCTGGGATAACAACAAATTTACTTTTACATTTATGCATTTAACAGAGGCTTTTATCCAAAGCGACTTACAGAGTAGGATTAAAATGATCAAGCATGAAGCAGGCGTGTTAAACGCTACACTACTGGAAAAAATGTACACAACTTATCAATGCCTTCTGAAAGTTATTGGTGAGTAGTATTCTAATTGACAATTATTATTCAATAAAAATGAAAATATATAATTATTAATAAGAAGTAGTTCAAAATTAGATAAAACAAAATTACATTGGTTTGACTAATTCAAGCTTAGACTGTGATGATACCACCTGGACAAAACATACTGTATGTGGTCTCAAACTTCCTTCCTAATGTATCTTAAATACGGCAAAATGAATGAATTATTATTATTATTTTAAGATGAACGTTATACCTGTGAGTTTGGCCCGGAGCATGCTCTGGATTTTTCAAATGTCAGGATTTTCTCCTCACTCATCTTGTCTGTGTCTGCAATTACATAGTGTCGAGGAGAATAGGTTCCTGACAGGGACTCCACCAGTCGCAGTATCTCTGTGGTATGACCGCCTGTGACACAAAGTAACGTCAACCTTTTGATTAAAAAAAAAAAACAACAACAACAAAAAAAACCTGTTGGATAACTCTAAACATGCAGTGACGTAGATGCGGTAGTAGTACATTGTAGCCTTAATTTATAAGCATTTCAAAAAGATATTTTTAATGTTCTATCTCAGGTTCAATCCTCAGCAGTCATGCTGGTCACAGTGGTGGAAACCAATGAGATTGTTAGCAAGTAAGTGAAGAATTCCAGAAACGGTTTCAAAACTGTGGTTAGCAGACTTTTTTTTACTACTTTGACTTTTCATAATATTTCTTTACTCCTTTCACAGATAATTATTATTAAATGTACTATCCTTTTCTGCCAGAAGGGAACTTCGGGGGATAAATAAAGTTGTTTGTTTGTTTTGATCTTTCTATCTATCTATCTATCTATCTATCTATCTATCTATCTATCTATCTATCTATCTATCTATCTATCTATCGTGTTATAGAGCTACATGCATTTACTCAGTGCCTCAACATATACTGTAATGTATACAGTATATAAAGCAGTGTACTTGCTGACGATTGTAAAATCAAGTGAGCAGTAAACATTGTCTCCCGCTAAAGCTAACTGCTACTTCTGTCGTTATCTTTCGGTTTTGCTTTCCCAACTCTGTATCTCTTTAGCATTACTTGACAGCAACGGTATTGAGTAAATTAAGGGTAGTTCTGGGTCCTTCACGTCACGCAAACTGGTTTTAATCCTACACACGAGCGTTTAGGTACCAAAACATTTACCTGAGCCAGCAACGACAACAACAGAAACAGAACCCTTAGCTCCAGGCTTATGTTTTGCGCCGGCCCTCAATACTATATATAACCGCAAGATAAATGTCAAACAAACAACCAGAACGGCCAACGCAACTCCTACCAGAGACATCACTAGATGTCTTTACAAATACATCCACAACAGCAGCCAGGCACTTCAGCTCACCACTGTACACAGAAGCAAAGATACAGAAACTACGGTGGACCAGGAGGCCCATAGCAAATACGACAGCGCGAATGCGAAATTCTGCCAGGTTTAAGACAAAATACTGAGTCCAATACTCGTTGTTTTTTGTGTGAAGGCTGTATACATATACAAAATACGCATCATTACGGTCACATTGAGATAAGGAAAAAAATATATAAGATTAAGATCATAAATGTAGATGATGTGTTAGAATAGAAAACGTGGAGCATCTTTTAAAGTTAAACTTCATGATTAGATTCACGAATAAAGAGGCTTTTTCGTATCTCTTTATGGCAACTCCACCTCCAACATCCTCATACATTTTCTACACGACCTTCACATGCTTCTCTGTATGCATATTAAGAAGATACATTTATTATAATAAATATTATTTAATAAATAAATATGAATGCATGTTAAGGTTAAATGTAAATTCCACATCTGGTGGAAAACCTACTGTATTTAAATTAAATAAATAATAATTTGTACATTGCTAATTTAAAACCTATCATTTAACTCATCTATTGATTATTGCAAATGTTAGTTTTGATGAACAGTAAGGCACTTTGATTTCTTTATGAAATAAACTATAGGGTTATGGCGTCATGACATGACGTTTACATATGGAATCTTGTCGTCCGAGAGCAAGTGAACGCAACATGCTGGGACGACGAAGGATGAGCACCAGCAGTCGCATCAGCGTCAGAGTTATGAATGGCTGAAATTGCCCATTAGTCTTTGCCGTGACGACCGCGTGAAGGTGGGTAAACATAGCGTCAGATTCACTGACGTGTTCTCGTGTGGATATGTGGATATTTATCTGTTAGCGTGTTAGCATCGTGCGTCGTGTCTCCAAAAAAGAGCTGCACTACAGAACAAGACACGCTTACATTCTCACGGTTTCTCGCCATTCTCAGTGTGTCCTTATGGATGCTTCGTGTCTGCAAAGGTTATTATGACAAGACACCCTCTAATTAGCACACACACACACACTCAAGACACATTTATTCCTAGGAACATCGGTTATAAACAGTGGTGTCAAAGAACTTAGCCTACAGTAGACTAGTCTGACACATTACATATCTTTAATTCATCTAATTTGTTTTTACAAATTTACAAGTCAGAATTTTGCATTACTTTCACACTACATGCCACAACTGTGGGCAAACTAAGGCCAGGGGGCCAGATGCGGCCCGTTCACCTTTTTATCCAGACCACGAATGTAATGTAATAATATCATTGTACTTCTGCCTTTTAACTGCAATACCCACGTTTCCCTATTAGACGGCTCGAAAATGATGAAAGCAATTTAGCATTTTAGCCTTCATGCATAACGTTTACGTGTCATATATCTTAGTTAACAGGAAAGCTCCATCTATCTGCTCCTGACCCCACCCTCCCTGTTCAATTTTAGGACAATTCTCACTCAAAAAGTTTCAAAATGTCTAACCATAAGGTAGGTTGTTTGGTTTGCTGGATAAAAAAAGAATAACATTAATTTTATTGATAACCAGTGTGAAACATGTTTTATTTTGAAAAGTAACTGGTTGAAGACAATTCTTTACATCCAAAAAATACATCTTTAATGTTGAAAACATGTACAAAACATTTTTGGAGAGTTGTGGATTAGAGATCTAATCTAATCTGGCCCACCAAATACTGGTACAAGGTATGGTAACAATTGATGTCAGCCATTTTGTTGTATGCATTACAATGTATCAATTGTCATTTTTGTTGACGCCACAAAATGGCAGCAGACACCAAATGTGCCAAATTATCATCCGCATTCTACACCCAACCGATAAAGAACTGGCCCGCCAGTTAAAATTTGAACCTTGTTTTGGCCTGTGAGCTAAAAACATTTACCTATCCCTGTCTCAACAGGTTTCAGGGGTCTAAAAAGTTGACAAAAAAGCCTTTATACATACTATACGTATGAACAGTACAACTTACAGACTACAAATGAGAACACAATATTAATACATTTTTCAATTTTAGATTAAGTTGCTCATGAAAATTCCAAAAAAAAAAAATGCTTGAAAAGCTCTTGTAAATCTAAGCACAGAACCATGTGCCTCAAACACTACCAGCTCAACTTATGGGTGGGCCTCCGTATCCGGGTCTAAATATTTTTGCAATTACAGAAGAGAGTCTGATTGTAATCTTGCAACAATTACAGAAGAGAGTCTGATTGTAATGGTTGAAGAGTCCATTAGCATGTAGTCTGATTGTAATGGATACTCAGGCGTGGGGTGAAATTCAAACCACTCTTATGGCCGTCAAAGTCAGCGGAAAGATGTTTGTTTTCTTTCACTGCAGTAGCTGTTTCTTTTAGGTCGTGCTAATGTCTGAGATAAAAGTCAAAATTAACACATGCATACAAAAAAAAAAAACAAAGTCTGGAATGACAGCACGATTACATACAGTATTTCAGAGCAATTCATTTAATCAATCGATTTTAATATTTAGGAGATTGTGTGCAGAATGCTGATGTCATACTGTGGTTTGTACAGATAAATAAATAAATATTACCAGGCCTTTATCGGCATCGGTTGAGATCGGAATTGGACAATATTGGCGCATCCCTAGAAAATGTATGTTTTGGCACATATGGTTGGAGTAGTGCGGTCACTCGATAACTAGATAAGTGGACGAAGATGATGGCGATGATGATGGTTGCCAATGCCTGATATGAAAAATAACTGAAGCCTGTTGCAGGCTTATTGTTCATTTCAAACAAGAAGAAAATGGCAATCTTAAACTTTTTGTGGAAGGTCTTGAAAAGTCTTAAATAGGTACTAAAATGAACTTGAGGATTTTCATCATATACCCTTTGCGTAACACAGCGCAGAAAATAGGTTTGTCTTATTGGACTTTAGTGTTTTGGTCTAATGTAACTTGTTATTTATTCACAGCCTGTCGTATAAACGCAAAAAAGTCTAAATCTAAAACGTGGTCCTGATGTTAAATTGAACGATTGCTGTTGTTTTCTTTTCACATAGAGAAGAGAGAGAGTGTGGCAGGATGGACTCCATCTCTATGACGGGTTGCAGGAAGCACGTCGCTCTCACACCTTCCCCGTCGTTTTCCCACCACCTTCAAAATCACGCTAAGACCACTTTTCTTCCCAGTGGCGTGAAGACCGTGCTGGGAGACTCTGACAGTGTTTGTCCAGCTACTCAGCCGACAGTAGCTATCCTGGGATCGGGTGACTTTTCGAAGTGCCTCACCATCCGCCTGCTTCGTCATGGTTTTCATGTTGCGGTGGGCAGCCGCAATCCCGATCTAACAGCCCAGTTTTTTCCACATGTGGTAGATGTTACACACCATGAAGATGCCGTGGGAAAGGCCAGTATTGTGTTCCTGGCAATCCGCCGAGAGCACTACTCTGTCCTTTGGGACCTCAAACATCTATTAAAAGGTAGAGAATGGCCAACAGCAACAAGAAATCACACAGTGAAGCTGACACATTTTTCAGGATTTATTTTAGAACCAAATCACAAAATATAGCTAGTTTGTAAAGAATTCAACACGCACTAGACCTATTTGTTCTATTGTTCTTGTAGTTTATTAGCCAAACCTTTGGTGTAGATTGGTAGACAAGCAAAATACTGCTAGTTTGTAAAGAATGAAACACGCAGTAGACCTAGTTGTTCTATTGTCCTTGTAGTTTATTAGCAAACCTTTGGTGTAGATTGGTAGACAAGTATTTCATATTGGAATGTTCAGTTTCACAACAACAAAATTAGCTGCTATTATTGCTTCTAGAAGCTTCTGGCTCTGGGATCCTTTTAAGACCAGCTGGGACTGGTATTGAGTTTACCTAAGATAAGATGAATTCAGTCTTTCAGTCGTGTGAGGATGGTGCCATGCTCAGAGCACCTCAGTGGCAGCTTGGCAGCTGGTGGACTTGAACCTGAAACCTTCTGGAGCCAAGTCTGCTTCCTTAGCCACTACTGCCTCAGCATAGACATCTTAGAAGTTATGTGATATTTTTTTAGCTTGAAAAAAACTGAGGGTTAGGGTTAAGGTTAGGGTTAGGGTAGCCTTGGAGCAAATTTGTGCGGTTGATGAAGAGGGAATCCTAATACAGATATGAGCATCCCATACGAGTATTCCGAGATACGAGCAAGCCTTGGAGCAAATTTGTGCAAATTTTGAGATACGAATAAAGATTTGCGATACGAACGACATTAGGCTTACAGACACCGACATTAGGTGGCCAAGCACTCGCAGCAGCCCACGCTGCCTTTCACTTCACGTCTTTGTCGACGCGTTTTTCCGTACGCATCTCCCCCAAGGTCTTCCGTATTGTGTTATTGCATTATCTACGTGAGTTTCTCTCTATTTTGTGCATAATTCTTCATAATAGTGATGAGCCTAAGAGAGTTATGAGCTCGGTGGAACGGATTATCCATTGTATCCATTCCATTGTAGTTATACTTCTCTAGACCACTCCCTTCTCCACTTGACAAATGAGTCGCATGTCAAGGTGTGACGAGTCACTATGAGAGTCACACCTTCATAGAGACAGGTGACTGCTTCTGATGGTGATGAGCAGTTATATATGTCACGTGTCAAACCGACAAACTGATGACGTTCCTCAGTAGAGGAACAAAACGTCATTCAAGCTCTAAGAAGAAGTCCAGTTGCCTACAACTAAACTCTATGTTTAAAAGACATGGTATCTTACCAGAGGAGAATGTATTGGAAGTAGTCATTTTGTGTGTCATTTTTTTTTTCATGAATCTTATGAACATTCAACAGATGTGTATTTCCTCTGATGAAAGAAAAATATCTTGGATATGTGTTGCAGGAAAGATCCTGGTGGATGTAAGCAACAACAGAAGGATGAACCAGTATCCGCAGTCAAATGCTGAATATCTGGCTTCATTGCTGCCAGAGTCCATTGTGGTCAAGGGCTTTAATGTCATCTCAGCCTGGTCCATGCAGCAAAACACTCCCAAAGATGCAGGTACACAGGTATACTTCAACAAAAGAGAGCAAGATAATTGCACATGATATGATGTGTAGTCTTTTCAGCCCCCTATGCTATTGGCTAACATTTTGTACAAGTTCTCCAAATCGAGTATGTGTACAACTGCTGTTATGTTTGAATGATAACAAGCCTCCTCGTCACTAGGTGGCAGCAACGACAAAATTAAACTGAGAACCACTGGGTTCTCACTGGGTTAAGGCAGTGTTTCCCAACTTTTTCTGAGCCCAGGCACATATTTTACAGTAGAAGAAAAAAAAAATACCACATGACAAATTACCGAACAAAAATGCCCCAAAGGGTATATGTTTAATCACAGTTAATCACAATTTAATCACAGTTTAATTACTTAAATCTGAGCCTGTTCAATTGAACACAATGCTCATATACTCACAGGAATTGAAGAAAACAAACAAGAAGATCTTTAACAGGTTTTATTACTTTGTTTCGTTCCACTAGCCATCAGCTGCTATCTAGTGGAAGTGTACCTAATTTTTCTACCTGTCACTGTTGCATAGATGGATGAAGACAAATTATTTGTTGAAATAGTTTTCCAATTAAGTGAAATTTGACAGTTTTCCACAGCACTTATGACGATCCGTCGCGGTTTACTAGTGGCTCAGTTGTTGGGAAACACTGCATTACATAAATAAAACATCTTTCAGACTTTATTCTGTTAGTATCAGAGTCTGAATGACCTATTGTTTTGAAACATTGCCACATTATCTTGAGCGCAAATCGAGTACTCAAGCCGGGACCAAGGAGAGAGAAAGAGAAGAGAGGAAGAAGAAAAAATAAAGGCTGTTAACTGTCATCTATGTCAGCATCTTCGTTTGGGCTTCGTAACAGAAGCCGGAGAAGATGATGAGAGTGTTTAGGAGACGTTGTAGGGCGTTAAATTAGGGTCAACTTTCACAAAACACAAGAACACAAACTTTGCAGTAACGTACTAAACGTGTAATGGCGCAGAGCAAAGTAAACGAGCGGCGGACAAGGGGAAACGCTGAGAGATGCTACGATGCATGAGCCAATCAGCGTGAGGAACACAATGCTATGTTAGATCTAGCTAACATAAAAAGATCTAGCTAGGTAAACAAAGCTACCAGCTATTTTTTGCTATATTGTACTATTTATTTTTTTAGGTTAGCAAATGTTTTTATCACGAAAATAATGATAATATTGGAATTTTTTTAAAAAACATTACAATATAATACCGCGATTTAGCGAAAATATCGCGGAACGGATAAAAAAAAAAAAGAAAACTTGGTGGAACTGAGGGGGTGGAAAGGGGAACCGCGATATAGAGAGGGACCACTGTAGTTGATTTTTTTCCATTGTGACAGGAAAAAGAAAATACTGAAGTTAAAATTAATTTTCCTTGCTAAACCCTTCTTTTTCACACCCCCAGATAGGGCCCGCCCCCCATTTTGAGAACCACCAGTTTAGACTTTATGTCCTTGAGTCATAAAAAAAAAAAAACAGCTGAATTATAGAGACAAAGAAATAAAATACAGTTCATCACACGGTCTTTAGTTTTAACACAGATGAAATCATCTTTGACATGAAAAACCATGATTAAACCTGAGAAACAGCCATTAAAAAAAGCCTTCACAAAGAAACCAACAGTTCCCTAAATCAAATCAAACAATCAGTTCCGATACTCGGTATTTAAAAGTATACAAATTTGAATATGCGTACTCATATATGTTGTAAAATGTAGTATTGAGACAACCCTTGTATGACTTTTATGATGTTTTCTGATTTTCTGATCATTTTCTGATCAATTGTATGTGTATTTTCTAAAAACTCATTTGCTCCGCTTCTGTGCAGGTGTTCATCTGCAGCGACTCCATGGAGGCACGACAGAATATTATGGAATTAGCTCGCCAGCTTAGCTTCTTGCCCGTTGACATGGGTTCCCTGTGCTCTTCGCGGGACATTGAGAACATACCCATACAGCTGTTCCCCGGATGGAGAGGCCCTGTACTTACTGCTGTGGCCCTTTCCATTTTTTTTTTTATATATTCTTTTGTGCGAGATATCATACACCCATATGTCAAAAACAAGCAGAGTGACTTCTACAAAATTCCCATTGATATGGTAAACCGGACATTGCCCACAGTAGCAATCACTCTTCTGGCCCTGGTGTACCTGGCAGGCCAGATGGCAGCTGCCTACCAGCTCTACTATGGTACCAAATACAGGCGTTTCCCACACTGGCTGGAGGGATGGCTGCAGAGCCGAAAACAGATGGGTCTCCTCAGCTTCTTCCTGGCTGCTGTACACGTTCTGTACAGCCTCTGTCTCCCGTTGCGCAGGTCTGACAGATACCTGCTGCTTAACACTGCATACCAACAGGTTAGTGAGTTTCCAACTTTGGTGTATGTCTGTGCTGATCTTTAATAACTCAGTATAAAAAAACCCCTGATATTTAATTTGCATTTCAGAATGAATCAGTTCCGATACTCGGTATTTAGAAGTATACAAATTTGAATATGCGTACTGATATATGTTGTAAAATGTAGTATTGAGCCAACCCTTGTATGACTTTTATGATGTTTTCTGATTTTCTGATCATTTTCTGATCAACTGTATGTGTATTTTCTAAAAACTCATTTGCTCCGCTTCTGTGCAGGTGTTCATCTGCAGCGACTCCATGGAGGCACGACAGAATATTATGGAATTAGCTCGCCAGCTTAGCTTCTTGCCCGTTGACATGGGTTCCCTGTGCTCTTCGCGGGACATTGAGAACATACCCATACAGCTGTTCCCCGGATGGAGAGGCCCTGTACTTACTGCTGTGGCCCTTTCCATTTTTTTTTTTATATATTCTTTTGTGCGAGATATCATACACCCATATGTCAAAAACAAGCAGAGTGACTTCTACAAAATTCCCATTGATATGGTAAACCGGACATTGCCCACAGTAGCAATCACTCTTCTGGCCCTGGTGTACCTGGCAGGCCAGATGGCAGCTGCCTACCAGCTCTACTATGGTACCAAATACAGGCGTTTCCCACACTGGCTGGAGGGATGGCTGCAGAGCCGAAAACAGATGGGTCTCCTCAGCTTCTTCCTGGCTGCTGTACACGTTCTGTACAGCCTCTGTCTCCCGTTGCGCAGGTCTGACAGATACCTGCTGCTTAACACTGCATACCAACAGGTTAGTGAGTTTCCAACTTTGGTGTACAGTATGTCTATGCTGATCTTTAATAACTCAGCATAAAAAAAACCCTGATATTTAATTTGCATTTCAGAATAAAAATATATATTATTTTTCTTTCTAAGGCAACAGTAAATTGTATTTTTTATGTCTAAATTGATCAACAGTAAGCGTATCTAGTGAAAAAAAAAACGAAAACAAAATTTCAAAACACCGGACTAACCTGACCATAACTAAATTTAAAATTATCAGTTCACCTACTGTATTTTCATAGGTAACATGCATAATATTTGTTTAAAATAATATATAAAAAAAGAATCATGCACATTTGACCGGAAAACACATATAACACACATATTTATATATTAGGTTCTGAAAAATCTGGTCAAATGAGCATATGGAAAAATTGGAATTTTTAACTCGGAAATTGTTCTCTTATTGTTATGTCGATCAACTGTGTTGTGCAGTGACAGTCTAATTGGGTTGTGTTTCCGCTGTGTCTATGCTAGGTCCATGCTAACATAGAGAATGCCTGGAATGAGGAGGAGGTCTGGAGGGGGGAGATGTACATCTCTTTTGGAATCATGAGTCTGGGACTTCTGTCGCTCCTGGCTGTCGCCTCCATTCCTTCCGTTCAGAACTCACTAAACTGGAGGGAGTTCAGCTTCATTCAGGTACTCCACTCTAAATGTCCAAACTAGGACCTGAACATTCTGTGCTTTGGAAAACTAAAAAAAACAACAACAAAAAAAACCAGTGTATAGTAATTTAGCAGTGGGCCTGTAGATTATATTTAGAGTCTTGGAATTTCCCCAATATTTGGATTTCTAACACCTCCAACACCTGTACAAAACCTCCAAGCAAAGATGTGAATTTTATTTTTTATAATAATAATTATTATAGGGATGGCTTAATCGAATACTCAAAATTGGTATCGGTCCTGTATTAGTCAATTTTTTTTTGATCAAACATAAAAAAAAAATCTGATCCGATTCCTAAGTCCAAATGCTCTAAACTGACTAGAAATCACAAAAAGTTAACAAAAATTTTCCATCATAATTTCTTTGACAATTCTTTTATATTAGTGACTCCTTTATTTGGATTAGTCAAATATTAAAACTGCTTTTATCTGATAATTTCTTTCACATTTACTGATTTATCTGGACTGATCCATATTTACTCTTTGATGGTACATACTGTATATTATACTCTCTCTCTCTCTCTCTCTCTCTCTCTCTATATATATATATAGATGTTGTACTTGTATAATGATAGCAACTGTATATGTCTATGTCTTTGTTTCAGTCCAATCTTGGCTACATTGCGCTGCTAATTGCTACCTTGCATGGTCTTCTGTTTGGCTGGAAGAGAGCGTTTGAGGAGGAAGCGTACCGTTTCTACCTGCCGCCCAACTTTGTAGTGGCCCTGGCCCTGCCCGTGTGTGTCATACTGGGCAAGGTGGTGATGCTACTCCCCTGTGTGGCCCACAAGCTCCACCGGATCCGCCGTGGTCTTGACAGTAGTCTGTACCAGTTCCGGCGCCTGGAGCCAGTGGGCTTGGCCGCCCACGTTTCGCCTGTGAAAGTCACTATCATGTGAACATACTGCACTTTAACACATTCAAACACAGTGTACAAACCACTGTGTGGGTTGCTGCCACCTAGTGACTAAAGGCTTGTTATCATTCATGCGTTACAGCATTGGTACACTGGTTGTCCAGCATGCCATATTCCATTGGAAGTCCCTTACACGTCACTGCGCAACCCAGGGGGCCCCGCCCCACTATTTGAGAAGTACTGCATTAAACACTGAAGCAAGGGAACTCCATTCAATGACAAGCACTTTGCACTAGGTATAGGGGATGTCATGGTTATTCTGACAAAATGCAAGATGCAGGTCTCTATAGTACAGTACTTGTAAACCCACAAAAAAAACTGTTCTATAATAACACCCATTGTAAACCCACAAAAAAAAAACTGTTCTATAATAACACCCACATAAAACAAAATTATTCTATGCATTAACATACACATTAAAAAGCCGATATTTAGATATACTACTTATACTAGATGTACTCAAGTACAGACGGTCCAAAGTTTACGACTTACTTTACCTACGTCTTTTCGTTGTTACATGTCAAAAACAAGCAGTTTTCGTTGTTACGCTATCTCCGATAAATGTATTAAGAAAGTCTTGTTCCAACGTATGGTATTAACACAAATTTACATGGTCACAGGCGCCACAGGTCACAGGTACCGGGGGCTGGGGGGCTGTGAGGGGCTTTCAATGGAATATGGCACCCTGGACATACCACTGCTGTAATGCTTAAATAATAACAAGCCTCCAGTCACTAGGTGGCAGCAACTGATACAGTGGTTTGTGCAGATAAAAATATACATATTTTCAGGTTCTCAATAGTATTTCAATGCGCTAGGATGTGGGTCGGAGGACGGGGGTGTGTGAAAACATTTCTGTCCATGTGGGTCGGAGGGCGGGGGTGTGTGAAAACATTTCTGTCCCCAAGTGGGGGCATGACGGAAAAAAATTGGAGAACCGCTGCGCTATACGCAGAAGACGGTTTTGTTTACATTTGATGGTTGTATGCTACAAATTTTTTTGGAAAATTCTTTTGCTCGTCACTGTGGCTCCCTAGCGTAAGTCAGATTAATCTGATCTCCTGGATTACGATGTTACCACGTGTTAGTGTAGGCCACCCTGTAGTGATGGGAGGGATAGTAATATGCCTCATTAGCATCAACATTCACTCATTTTCTCACAGATTGCAAATGATAGGCCAATATGTTATCAAGTAAAAGGTGGTAAATGAAACATGTCTAAATGTTTTGCGCAAACTATAAAAAACACTTTGATAATTGTTTTAACTATGTTTCAAAAAGTCTCTGAAATCACTGAAATGTTAGCTATCAGAATGGATGCTAAGCTAGGTGAAAATCATTGCTATCGAAATGTTGTGAAGTAAAATACTTGATTTAAAATGCAGTTATGTAAAAGTAAAATGACCTATTCCCGAATTCGTAATTTGTTACATTCCACCTATGATTAGGACCCATTGTAAAATGTCAAAAATGTAACCATGTAAATAGTATTGTAATGTTTAGGTGTAGTGTACATTGCACATAATGAGGTAGAATCAAAACAAATATTAGAAATTACAGCTTGATGTGATAATAGAAACAGCAGCGCCCTCTTTTGTTTAAATCAGTGGTGTTCATGACACGGCTTCATCAACCCATGGCGTTTAAATTCATGACACGGCTTCATCAACCCATGGAAAACATTTTCCCACCAAACACTAAACAAATCACCCATTACTGTATTTGCTCTGTCTTTCAATGTATGATGTCAATTATCTAAATGGTATTTTCTTTACATGGGATACGTGTATACCAGACGTGGGCAAACTTTTTGACTTGTGGGCCACAATTGGTCCTAATATTTGACAGGGGGCTGGGACAGGAGCAGATAATTGATAGTCATGTATTTAGGCTAAAATGCTAAATGATTTTAGCCTTCTCTATCTGTAGGGAGAATGTGGGCATTGCAGGGAAACGGCAGAAGTATAATCACAATGCAAACTAATAACATCATTTGGACAAGTTTGGCGGGCCGGATTACAAAGCGGACTTAGTTTGCTCACGCTTGGTGTATACACTACTTAGAGTACTGATTGTAAGTACTAAGTATGTTCTTGTTCTTTTATTTAAAAGTGTCCTTCCGTGAAATTACGGGAAATTGCGAGTGTGACATACTTTTATAAAAAAATATAATGTATATCATTAAAAGTAATTTGCCCCAAAACAAATTCCCTATTTAAGGATTGTTTTCTGTCCATATTTTTTTGTTTATTATCTCAATGGTAATTTTTTAATATATGTAAGTTTTATTTGGTCTTAACTAGCTCTTATTACCTTACATTACATTTTATAATACATTTAGCAGACGGTGGTGGTTTGTTCCACCACATGGGAACCAGGGTAGAGAATGACCGAGATCACCTTGTGTAGGGGAGCGGGCAAGACAAGTGGACACTACTTTTGAATTGGTTAAAGACTAGACGCGCCGACGCGTTCTGGACTTTTGTAGGGGTACTGTAGCAACAGTTTGGTGGTGTGCTGTGTACGGTCAAGTACGGTCTGATTTTGCACATTATGTAGAGTGCAAAGTGACAAGACAAACCGATGAGAGGGAATTGCAGGGATATCACTATAGCCTGTAGCAACAATTTGGTGGCGTGTTGCGTACGGTCAAGTACGGTCTGATTTTGCACATTATGTAGAGTGCAAAGTGACAAGACTGTGTGACAGGCGATATGGTCAGAAAACTAATGTTTAACAAAAATTAGCATCCAAATTGAAAATAAAACAATAGCCAAAATAAGCCTAAATTCTTTTTTTTTTTAGAATATATTTTTTTGGGATTTTGATCCTAACAATCCCACATTGCAAATTAAAGGACAAATTAAATTATACAAACAACTTAAAATAAGAGACAGTTGTAATACTGCAGACAAAACAAATCATGAAATGAACGTGTGTTGACCATGACCTGGATGACTGAAATTCTTTATAGACATGAAATTAAATGTCTGTGATACAGAAAAATTCAGTGTTTAGTTTTAGAGCACAATTTACAGTTTATATGCGTCACTCCCTCATACTTTCCTCACCTGTGTGACTAAGAAAGACTTTTAGGGCATGTAGCGTTGATGCCACAAATGTCCACCGGGGGGCTCTGCTCAACCAAAAATGTTAAATAGTGATAGATCGATAGATACATAGATTTTAAAATTAAAATTTTAGTAGAATGTGATGGCTGAAGTTTGTGCCCCTGGTATGTGTGTAGAAGTTAAAAAATAATCTTCCAAAACCTGCTTTGGAAAACTTTTGAACTGCACCGGACCACATTACGATGTCGTAAATTGGGTCCTAGATTAAAACAACAACAACAAAAAAAAAAAAAAAACAAAAAAAAAAAAAACAAACATAGAAATAAAACGTGGAGAAAAGATAAACG